TGAACTTTGCATTTGCATTCATGTAACCAAAGAGATCATACAAAAAGAGGCAAAACCAAAACAGGAAACTAACGGCCAACCGGCCTTTCTACCAAAAAACCCCTCCTATCTTCCTCAAGAATATTAAAAAAATCTTGAGGAATCAAAACAGTGAGAGAGAGAGAGAGAGAGAGAGAGAGCTGAACTTCTAAGAGAGAGAGAGAGCTGAAGTTCTAAGAGAGTTGAACTTCTGCATTTGCATTCATCTAAAACCCATTACAAAACCAATCAAAACAAAGTCCCCACATCCGGGGTAAAATTACATCTATCATCCTCAAAAATAAACAAAAAATCTTGAGGAATACCTATACTGTTGCTATCTCCAACATCCCAAACAAAACTATCATCAATTGCTCTTTGAGAACAAAAATGAGCTGCTTTGTTATGCTCTCTATATGTATGAACAAAAAACACTTTATGGAACGATTTAACCCAGTTCAGCTTATGTCCCTCATCTGGCCTAAGCTTCCACAACTCCTCTTGCTTGCAACGGTGCATAAACTCCATCACGCTTGCATTGTCCCCTTCAACAATAACCCCCTCAACATCAAACATCCAATCCCGAATGAGCCTATCGATGTAATGCACCGCCAAAATCTCCACTTGGGTACTATCCCAATGCGTGATGCTCCAGCCCGCCGCAGTGATCAAATTGCCGAAGCAATCCCGGATGACAATGCCAACCCCGCCGGCATTGTTCCTATGCAACGCACCATCCACATTAATTTTCAACCAACCTGTAGGGGGGGACACCAAGAATAAGTTTGAAACAATCCAGTGGATTGAAAGGTGAACCGTTGCTCCAAGTTATGCGAAAAGAAACATTGCGATGTCGAGCTCAGGATCCTGGCGGCCATTGTGGTAATTGAGGAAGCACTCTTTCCATGTCTAATAGCATTTCTATTCTCCCAGCACAAATGCACAGCCTTACAATAGATTATGGGCCAGAAGGCCTCAGTCGAAAGGCCCCTCTTCATATCAACTTTGAGCTCATCAAGTGAAGCAAACCTAGGGGTAGGAAACCCCCATATCTCTAAACATTTAAGAACCTCATCAAGTTGCTTGCACTAAGTCGTCAAATGGTTCAGATCCTCCACCTGCATGTACCCAATCGAGCAATGCACGTCGGAACACAAGCCACGACGGTTCAGCCACCCGCACGTAGGAATGAGGTCCATGTATATCCTCCACCAAAATATATGCTCCCGAGGCCTTAATCTGAGCTTCAATTCGGTGCCCACCTGGTTTTCCTCCCCTTGGAATAGGGAGCCATAGCATATAGCCGAGACCGATGTGTCAAGCGGGCATTTACAGAGCTCCAGCGAATCCGCAGTAAGTTCAGTCCAGAGCTTGACATCACAAATTCTGTCAACCAGTGACTCCCCAAAACATAGCAGCAGTTTTTGGCGATCCCAAAAGTTCTCCGGCGAAATGAATTCACTGACCGACCACCCATCAATCCTCGCAATGTCGCAAAAAGTAGGCCATACAGCAATGGCCAAATCCAGGATCCAAATATGAGTGACCGTGTCAATATCGACACCATTACACACCTTCCAGCGCACATTTTTACTCAAGCTATTCGCCCCGTCGCAAATAATTCTCCATCCGCAAGAATCACTCCGTTTTCTCTCTTGCTGCCATGGCCAATCCTCGTAGGCGTGCCTCATACATCTCTGGAAAAGGTTTTGAGTTTTATGAAGAAAATCCCAAGCAATTCTGGCCCGCAGCGGTCCAACCCAGTCGTGACTAGCATGGAAACCAAGTCCACCCAACCGCCTAAGCCTGGTGATATCACTCCAAGCGGCGTAGTGCAGGCTCCTATGGGCCGAGTCCTTGTCCCACAGAAATCTACGACAAATTCTTTCCACCTTTGCAAGAACACCCCGAGGAACCAAAGTGTGCGAAATAGCATAAAACGACAGCGGGATAATCACAGAGTTGATCATGGTAATTCTGCCGGCCAAGGATAAATGGCGAGTCCCCCATGAGAGTGTAAAAGCATGCAAATTCTGAAGAAGCGAGCTGAAATCGGCCTTTGTCAACCTCTGCATTGCAAATTTGACACCGAGATAGTCCATTTCCTCCACCTTGCGACATCCCGCAAGCTTGGCTAGACGGGTCTTAGTCGGCGAAGGCACAAACTGACTGAAGAGGATCGCTGATTTGCTTTTGTTAATTCGCTGCCCTGTCCAGCCACAGTAGTCCTCCAAAATGGTAATAAATTTTCTGACATTGGCAGCTAACACACCTGCAAAAAATAAAACATCGTCAGCATAAAGGAGGTGGGACACAAGAGGTCCCCCCCGCCTGATTTGAACCCCAAGCTCCCTATAGTTTTGGTGGAAGTGCAACGAGAGAAGCTCCGAGCAAAGAATAAATAGATACGGCGAGAGCGGGCACCCTTGCCGGAAGCCACAGCTCACCGTAATGCCCTCCGAAAGTGTCCCATTAACCATAATAGAAAAGCGAGGCATGGAGACACAATTCAGCACCCAGGTACGAAACCTCAAAGGGAAGCCCATCTTCAAAAGCACCAGCTCCAGAGTTCTCCAATTCATCTTGTCATAGGCTTGCTCCATATCCACCTTCATTGCCATCCAGCCCTTGGATGATTTGGACACCTTAAATTTGTTCACAATTTGCTGTCCCAGAAGGCAGTGATCGGAGATCGAACGACCATGAACAAACGCCGCTTGCTCCTCAGATACAAGGTTGGGTAAGAGGCCCTTGATCCGGGAGACAAGAATCTTCGCAATAATTTTATAGATAGTCTGGCATAAGCTAATAGGTCGGAATTTGAAAGGATGTGTAGGCTTGTCAACCTTTGGCAAGAGGACAACAATCGTCTCCTTCCACGACTGCTCCATATGCCCAGTCGAAAAAAATTCTAGGCATGCCGCAGCAACTTGCTCGCCCACAATATCCCAAAAAGCCTTAAGGAAAGAAGTCATCACTCCATCCTTTTCAGGTGCACGATTAGGCCCCATGGACTGAACCGCAGTCCAGATTTCATCCCGGGTAATATCCCTCTCTAGAAAATCAGCAAACTGTTCCGTATACACCCGCCGAGAATCCAGGGAAGGCCATCCCGTCTCGTCTATAGGAGTGCCATTCCACTTATGAGCAAAGAAATCATACATCCCTTGCAGGATATCCGCCTGCTCCGTTGCAGTTTCTCCACTCGGAAGACTCAGCTGCTCAATTTGGTTGGATCACCGCCTTGCAGACGCCATGGAGTGAAAAAACCGTGTGTTCCCATCCCCCTCCTCTACCCACCGCACCTTCGCGCGTTGCCCCCACCACATCAAAATTCTAGCCAGCGTCGCCTTCAAAAGTTGCACCTTGTATCTCAAGGTTTCGGCTTGGGTCTCAGAAAGCCCGGTTGGGGAGCATTCAATCATCTGGAGGATACCAATCTCCCTATCAAGGTCATCCCTCAACTGTTCTAACATCCTGATTTTGTTCCTGCTCCAAAAGAAAAGAGCCCTTAGGGATCGCTTGCATTTCTTCTGTAGCTTGATCGCCTCCGATCCCATGTCATGCACCTTCCATTTCTCCGACACAATTTGCCAAGCTTTCAAAAATGTGGCCCACACATCTTCGAACTTAATCCAATGCGTATAATTCCTTTTGCCATCCTCCATCACAGAGCAGAGAATGGGGCAATGATCCGATGCAATCCGAGTTAAATGAGTTACTTTCAGCCCCTGAAATTTGTCCAGCAACGCCGAGCTGACCAGGAACCTATCCAGCCGGCAAAAAATCCGGCTCCTCGCATCCTTGTTGTTAGACCAAGTATAGGCCGGGCCAGAGAAACCCGGATCCACCAGATCATTTGCAGCCATGAAGTCGCCCATATCACAGGCCGCTTGGGAATAGTAGCCTACCGCCCTTCTTCTCCCCACCCCCCTTCTTCCCCCCAGCAGCCAGGATGCAATTAAAATCCCCCCCCCCACCACAATCGGAACCTCCGCATTATGGTGATTAGAGATGTCCTCCCATAGCTGTCTCCGGACATACCTATCATTGTCCGCATAAACCATAGCAATCTCCCACACAACCGTGTTCGACATAGTAAGAGTCCCCATAACACATTGATCAGATTGGAAAATCGTCTTGAATGAACCAATCGAGTCCTTCCACATAACAAGAATGCCTCCAGCTCTGCCCACTGAAGGCTGATAATAAAAATCCCAGCTTCTACCAATCAGTCTATCAATGTCCCGTCTAGAAAAAGAACCCATCTTAGTCTCGAACAAGCCAATGAAGCTTCACTCCCCTTTCCCCAACCAGGTGCCGTAAGAAATTACCCACCTCCTTCTTACGGGCACCCCGACAGTTCCAACAAAGAAGACTAAGCATTATTCACCCAAGGGGAAGCGTCCCCGCCGCAGAAAGCCTCCGAAAATACCTCTTGCCATTGCTCCGCAAATTCTCCATCGATCCTCCCGATAGTCGACCGATCCATCACATTTAAAGCATGGGCCCGAGAGGGGGACGTTGCCATGGCCCCTTGCTCCTTATTCCGCTTAATTCCAGGAAGCTTTTGAAGGGGGCCATAATTGCCCAGCTCCTTAGTTCTTTTGTCTTTTGCCTCCCTGGTTTTCCCATTTTTCAGCTTAAGCGGATTAGATTTCGAACCTGAGAATCTCAAAACCCTTGGTGCTAAAATTTGAGTTGGGGAAGCAGAGTCATTACGACGCTTCCTTTGATGCACAACTGGCCCACACGCCACATTATGGCCAGGGCCAACCTCCTCAGTCCTGATCTCCTCCATATTCAATTCTTGCGGTATAAGTATCTCCTTGTTGCCCCATTCCATTTGCACAGCAGCTCCAGGAATCCCACTGCTCGGTTCCCCATTATCCGCCAGGCCAGTTGAGGGAGAGTTGCTGTGTTCAACGCTCATATCCATGCTCCCTGGCTGTGTGGTCACGTTCAAAATTTCCCCCATCGTAGGTGGAGCCACACTATTAGTTAGTTTGCACTGTTCTGTGCCTTCCACCTTATACGTCATCATAACATGTTGTGGTGCAACTGCAACCTCCTTGCCAGTTAAATTCCCCCCCCCCCCATCTTCAGATTCCCCTTGGGGACGTTGCCATCCGCCACAACCTTCCAGATTGTGCTATTGGGTGCTCTTTTGGTCAAGTTGAGTTGAGCATTATTAACCTCCGTGGATTTAGCACCGGTTTTGGTCGGTCTAGAGCTCCTTCTTCGGTTCACGATCGTCCATTCGCCCTGCTCCACATTCACTGTAGAGGAGACACCCCCAGCCGAATCAGACGAAAACGCTTCCTTGCCGTCATTCCTTCGCTCCATCTCCATTTCCTTCAATTGGCCATTGGAAAAAGCCATCCCATAACCCCCATTAGGACGATTTCCCGAAGCGGGAGGAACCGATTCCCTACAAACCTCAGCCTTGTGTCCAACCATCCGGCAAGCCTGACAAATCAGAGGGATGCCCTCGTATTCCACTAGTTGGAAAAATGGGCCTCCTAAACCATTCGCCCAAACACCTTTAGGCAGCCTTTTAGAAAGTTCTAAACGGACACAAACATGAGCTAAAGCGCAATGGTCCCACCTCCTGGTTTGTTCGTCCATGTACAACGGTTTCCCCACACCAGCAGCCATCCTCGCAAGATTAGCCTCATCCCAATACTCCAGTGGAAGATTCGGAAGTTGAATCCACACTGGTGAGGAGAATTTCCAAGTCGATTTGGAAAGAGCTCCGACAGTCCATTGCTCCACCCCAATTATCTGGCCGGCCACATACTAAGGCCCGGTCAAGTTTCTGCACATTACCCCGAGCCTTATCCAAGTCCAGATTCACCATTCCATCCTCCCGTATGAAGGACTTAACATCATCCTTTAGTCTAAGGGCAATTGGCGCAGCCCTCTTCCAAGCATTTGCACCAGACGTGGTCGTTTGGTTTGGATTCTCAGCTGTCCTCGTTGAATTCCTAGTCAAGCCAGCAGATAGGGAAACCTCTGTGGCATTACCACAAACACCTTGTGGGCAAGCAAAAGGACTGCTGGAGGCGGAATCCGGCCCCATAGGCAATTTCCCACCAGATTGTAATTCTGCCGCTGACTTCACCTCACAGCCCCCCGCCATGCTGTTCTCACCACCAGACCATCCATTCGACCCCAGACCCAATTCTGCAATCCAGCTTCGGGTTCCAAACTTGAACACTGGCATTACAGTCTCACGAACTGGAGGCACCGATCCAGTGTCATCCCCACGCCTCAAACCGTCAACGCACCTCTTGGTCTCCATGGCTTTCCGGTCAGCAACCTCCCCTTCAACCTCCATGAGCTCCTCACGGACAACGGGGACCATCGACCCAACAGGATGCTCCGATCGACAGTACCTTTGAACATCTTTCAGAAAATCTTCCATCTCCATGCTTCCCATAATCTCCATACCCATCCCCACCTCGGACGGGCCTTGATTGCCATCAAGAGGGTCCTCCACAGCCGTAATGTCGCCCCCAAAAACGACCACATCGGCTTCATTCCCAGCGCCCTTCGAGCGAGTAAATAATGCCATCGACTCCAAATGAGAGCCTCCAACGCAAGCTAGAGATCATTCCGACTTTCTTCCAGAAGCCCCGTTCCCAAAACCCAGCTTCCCGTTCAGACCGGCACCGCTCGCTGCAGTGTCTCCACTATCAGCTTTCGCACCCCCTGCCTTGACGGGTGATCTCGCATACACCAGCTATTTTTTGGACGTTCCCGACCCCTGAGCCCCATTGAGCCCTTTCAAAGCGGTTCGCCTATCTCCAGTAACCCCCTCCCCCTCCGCCACTCCATGCCTAGATGCCCCGCTCCCAGATACTCCACGACTTCCATCAGATCTCCTGACCTTACCCTCCGAGCTTTTCCCACCAACCGAATCCTTACCTCCCCCGCCCCACAGAGAGTGACGTGGGGGTGACCGGCGGTCA